ATTATTCTGGACTATCATTTCTCTGTAATTCTAAAAAGGATTAAAGTAGGCCTAAGATACTTGAGTATTTCCTCTCCTCACAGTGGATCTAGTCTCCGCTTTGTTGGCAATTATAACATTGAAAATCTGGAAAAGGTTAAAATTAACTGCAGAGATTACTCCTTACGGTATATTTCAGAGTAATATCCTTCATATTTTCCATCTACTTTGATTTTTATTCAAGTATTTCTAAAAGTTATGATGTAGTTATGACAAGCAGTTTATGCACCGGGAAATGGAAGCTTGATAACCAGTGACACAATCAACAGCTCCCTCTGCAGCCTTCAGCATAAGCTGCCCTGTCAACCCTGCCCAAAGCGGTTTACGATCTCTGAAAAACACCCAGTTGCTGTCAGGTTGGGAATTCACATGGCTCCCTTGAGAAAGATGATCCCAGGGCCTTTAGAGGCATGCTCTCTCAACTTGGTAACTGTACTAGAAACAATCAAGGTTGTAGAATTTTGGAAGCTGTAACCAAATCCCTGTGAAGACGGAAGTGTGGTAGACCTGCCAATAACCACCTCCCAGCCCACCCTCTTGGAGACTCTGTCTCCACCCACAGCTCTGGCTGCTGTGTGTGCACCAGGTGGCCACTTGCCCCGTCACCACCCACTTCCTCTTGAACCAAGGTGAACACAGCCTGAATCAGTAGGATGAAGGGGGGTGCATCACCTAGGAAGGTCAGAGAAAGGCACAGCAGGAGCCAGGTCCCAAAGCAGATCAAGAACTACAAGGTGCCTGGAGCGGAGAAGCCCCGAGTGAGCAGAGAAGGCAGGGCTGCGGAGGGGGCAGTAAACGGGACACACTCACCGAGAGAGGCAGCACCGGGGGAACTGGAGGGCCCAGGAGAGGCTGAGAGAACTTTCCAGTTCTAGGGCCATATAGCCTGGGTAGACTTTGTTTCCTGTCCTTAACGAGACTCCCTGCTGTATCCTTACAGCAAACCCACTTGTGTTTCAGCTAGCCTCCAAGGTTTTCCTTTTTCGTGACTCAACAACGCCTGTCTCAGAAACGCCTAATCCTCTGCTCTTATGGACGAGATCATTGAAGACAGCGAGGTCACACTGCTGGCTTAGGATCAGTCGGTTCTAGAACCGAATTCTCCTGATTCCCAATTTTGCTGTGCTACCTGGTCTTCTTTATGTTATCAGTGGGCCCTGAAAGAGTTAGATCAGAAATATTAGGAATATTCCAACACTGGCTTGGTTTATTAGGAAAGCCTTAACTTAAACCAAGTTTGTCCCCACATAAAAATGCACTCAGTACAAATGCTTGCTTTCTGGTGGTCCAACTTGGTCAAGGCTTAAGGTTCCAAGAAGAAGAGTGGCTTAAAAACCATTTGTGTTCACAAAATAAATAACTTACACCCTACCTCTTGATGAGATCAGGCCCAGCCGTGTATATCCATTGCCTTCTTGGTCTATATCTTGCATCAGAGTGTTTACATAGACACATCAACAATTTAGTAAACCCAAATTTAACATTTCCGTCAAGTTCACTTTTACAAATATTATCTTTAGATGCATTTTTAAGCCTTTAAGAGGGAAGACAGTGGAACTGATATAAGAACAGAAGAATGTGTCATAGAGAGCGGTTACCCCAGCTTCCTGTGTACATCCTCTGAGTGACAGTGGAGGGGATGTGTGTGGGTAACGGCTCCCCATATACCCAGGGGCTACACCACCTCCAAGATGGGACACAGACAGCAAAACCCCTCTTGCGAGCCAGCCTTTTTAAATCTTTCTTGAATGTTAACAATACAGAAAGCAGACATGGAAGACGTTATTCTCAACACTGAGCAACATGCACTGGCCTGGCCTTCCACACTGTGAGGTGGTTAGATTTGGAACTAGGCTGTTTGATCAGCTGCATCTGAAAGGCTAACCTGGTCCCAGATGGCCTGGACTTTCAGGGTGGGTTGGTTCTGAACTCTCAAATGTTGTGGACTGGCTAAAAGCGAGCTCTACGGATCCTCTGTGGTTGACCTGAGATTTTTCTCTAGAATTGGTCTTCCAGTAATTCCACCAGCTGGGCAGGTTTAGCATTTGGAGAAGGCATAGAAATCAAGTACAATATACACATAAAGAATATGCAGGTTTGTTAGCATTAAAATTTGTCAACCAAGAATAGATCTCTATTATTAAAGTTTTGGTAAACCTTCAGAAAAAGTTTCAAGTTTGGTTGAATTAATCCAAAGAGTTAAAGATATCAGAATATGTTTGTTTTGTCTGTATTTTTAAGAAACACTAAAAATTACAACAATAAAATCCTTATTATAAATTTTAGGATACCACATACACACTGAAGAGTATATCTTTCACAGTGTCAGAAAACTCAATTCTTTTATATCCTTAGAATTAAAATTCCGGTTTGGTCCTCTCACCAACAAAATTAGGTATAGCATTTATTGTGTTTAAATAATTCTACAGTATTAAAATGTTTTCAAGAAGTCCACTGGCCTGACATAAAAATGTTCTGACATGTTGCTTCAGAATGAAAGGTATTTTTTACGCTTTCCTTTATTGACCAGAAATGTGATTTCTGAAACTTCCCCTCTATGTGCTTTCTTGGTACACACATTAAAGACCAAATAGGGAAAGTCTTGGTCATCATGAAATTACACACTGTAAGAAAAGTAGGACGCAGTAGGATAAGGGTGACCTCAGGACAGAAAACATTTCCCAGCCCTGAAACTATGACAAGGGAATCAATAGCAGTGGTAGTACTTTTGCCCATTGCTGACCCCCATCAACCCTGAGATCCCGAGTTCGGTCTCTAATACTAGTTGCCTCTCAAGGAAGTAGAGTGCCTTAGGGGTAGCGGATTCTATGACTTGGGGCAGGAAAAAAAATCAGAATGGGCCTCGAAGATGCAGTTGTTTTCAGATAGCGTGAATGCTTTCAGAAATGTCAGAGTCCTAAAAGTACATTGGTGTCAACATCAAGGCACTTCCTACTGACTGAGTTGTGAGACTCTGAGCATCAAATACAAGCACAGCAAGGAGTCATAACACAAAAGTAGGCTCTGACAGAAGTTTAATTTTTTTAATAAGTAGGGGAGTGTTCACATTGAGTATTTTATTTCTTCTAATAATTATGTCTGTTCATAATATTTACATATATAGTTATTCCTATCTGGGTAAGCATTGAAGAATATACACATGGAACTTGTTACTTGACCAAATGATCTTGGCAGAAGGTACTAAGATTAAAAATAGGGTGGATTTATTAGCACAAATAATAGGATGTATGATGAGTACAAATAATAACCAGGTAGAAGGTAGCACAGGTGGTCATACACAATAACTAAGGAAGAGAGACAATTCAATGCTGCAATTTAAAATATGAATTACTCAATGTCCTGAAGAGACAAGTTAACTACATAAACTAAATCTCTCGTTACTAAGAAATGAAAGCTCTAGAATCAAGATTCCCAACAAGGAATACAACCATTTTAAATGATAAAAACAGAACGGATCAAAATGCCTTAATGACAAGCCAATAGGTTAGGTACAGGCAAAGCTTAACATATCTTTATGGCAAAAGATACCAAGTTTCAAAGACAAAAGTTCATAAGAAAGGGACTTAAAAGTTTACCAAAAAAACCCAGTCATCTCAACACTGTGGCTCAGGTCTGAATTACCCTTGTCTACACAATAAGATCATGTTCACACCAAGAATCAGCTGGTCAATAACCCAGATTCTTTCCTTCCCTTTAGTTCTAGTAAGAATACTGAGACCCAGGAAAGTACTAACATTGAAAGATTAGGAATATATCACTTTAAGAATCATTCTACACTGGGAAGTTACTAAGTACAGAAATAATGAAATTACCTAAATTAAACCATACTCTTGATGTGTGATGTTTAAGTAAACGTGCAACAATAAATTTTACAATCCTTGCTTATGTATATCTTTTATCAGATGTGTACGGTGTTTGTGGATTTCAAAAGACTCATCTATACTAAATTTGTACTCATAGTTTGCAATTTTTCAGAAAATTTAATTAGAAAATTTAATTTGGGAATTAATGTTTAAATCCTCAAGAAATTGTTTTTTTCTCTATATGAATTTAATGAAGTGATCATTAAACAAAGTACACATAGTTTTGAGTATTCTTCATGTCTAAAAGTCCCTCAGACAATGAAAGAAAATGAAATTATTATTTTACAAATTCATACTTTAGAAGAAAAAGTCTGTAATTATGGAATCCTAACAGCCCCTGCTAGAATCCAAAGAAAGAAGAGATTTTAAAAGGACTTAAGAAAGACGAAGCTTGAGTCATCTCTTCCTCCCAAACACAGTTATTTGCTTGGTTTTAAAGACAAATGAACCATAACTTAGTAGGAATCACGTTTCCATATTAACCACCCGGGTGGATGCCATGATACATGACTGAGACTACTGCACACTCTCTCCTTCCAACCACAGGACTTAAGTGTTGAAGGGAGGTCCCCAAAAGAGAAAAAGAATTTGAAGCACAAAATGTTGGCTCAAGAAAGAAAGGAAAACTCAAAAGGGCAAAACTTCAGAAAGCTACTATTTGATCAGTTGCCAGATCTTTAGGAATCTCACCATGAAATAGTGAGAACGCCTTTCCAGGAAAAAAAAACAATAGTCACATTTAATCTGACACTTGAGAATAAACACAAAAAAATTTTAGAAAAATCACATAATTTTGGCAAATCATAATAAATATTCACCATACTCAGCACATTTTGGATGAAAAAGAAAACACAGGAAAAAAATAGGAAAAGAGTTCACCTGCCGTGTTAGCTTTATGAGCACCACCTTCCTGGCATCTGCCCCTGCGTGGATGAAGGACGGGACCTCGGGAAGACCCTCCCCTTTAAAAAAAGCCAAACCAAACCAAACCGAAACGTCTTCGGGAATACAGGTACTCTGTTTGCAAACTTAAGCACCATGTCAATTAACTCGACTCAGGTGTTGCTGTCACACTGTCCTACACTGATTATACAACTTTCCAAGTCATGAAGATAAACCTGAAATTATAAACCTGATGGAGAAGCCGATATTCAGAATGGCACTCAATATGGCCGAGGGTTCTGGACATACATAAACACCACGATGATGTCAGGGAGGCGCTGTGTTGAGTTGGGGAGGATAAAATTTGACCAGAAAGCTTTTCATGATTACGGCTTTTTTCTCATTTCTTCATCCCAATCAAAATCTAATGTGTCATCCTCTAGTTCTGGTAAAGTGAAGAGAGAGTTTTGGGGAAGACACAATCTTTCAGTGGACCCCGCCAGCTGAAATGTTTTCCTTCTCCTGCCGAGCAGTGTAGCTGTGGTTGTAGGAGTGGGGCTCGGGCCTCGCTCAGTCCAGTTCTTTCTTCCAGGAGGAGGAGGGGATTCTGATTTGGATTCAGAGGAGGAAGTAAAGGAGAAGTCTGCCAATCTGGCTAACGTGCAAGCATGAACCTTGCTGCTTCTATTATTGCACAAAACCTCTTCCTTTTTGTCTCTCTCACAACTAAGAGGAAAACGCCCAGTCTCGTTCCCAAGCCCTAATTCAGGTTGAGGAACTCTCTTTTCAGGGGCACATTCCCTCTTCTCTCCTGATCCGTCTTTCTCTGGTGGCTGCTGTGATACCTCCTTTGTCTTACCCTGCAGCTGATCTGAGCTTCTGTTTCCTGAGGTGGAAGCCAACTTTTCTGGACCCTTCGTAGGCTGAGCTGCTCCTCTTCTTGTTTTGAGTTGGGCAATTTGAGGACTCTGAACTGCTAGCTGAGCTGTGCCAGGAGACACACGGTTGTGGTCCTCAGGGGAGTAGGTCAGTTTTGACTTCTGTTTGAAAGTAAATTTTGCCAGTTTGGCCAGTGGGGGACCCGGACTCTCAACACTTTCAAGTTCAGGTTCTTCCACTTGAGCAAGGGACTTCTGTCTCTTTCTTTTGGGAGTTTCCAGCGTTCTTCCTGGGCTATGGACAGCAACGGACTGAGGACGCGAAGGGCTTGCGGGCCGTGTAGGTGCCCTGGAGGGGTTTCTGCACAGGGCCTGGGCCCTTGCCTTGCGCTGCCTGTGCAGCTTCCTGGGGACGTGATGAGTCAGTACTGAATCTGCTTCATCAGCAGACGCTGCTGCTTCAGAAACCAGCGCTGCCTTTTTTGCCTTTTCACCCTCAACGTTGTCTGCCCTCAATGGAGCTTCTGTCTCTCCTGGTGCTGGAAGGGGTTCAGTTTCCAATTTGCTCCCTTGGCCTGGCTCACTCTTTTCCTTACCCTGAGATTTGTTGTTGGAGATTTTTAAAGCCATTTTTTCCCTGGTTGTTTTGGGACTGGGAGACACAGGAATAGTGTTTTTAGGTTCAGTCTGATGAGTTGCCATGGAGTCAAACCAGTCCAAACTGTCATCTCTGCTATTTTTGTGCTCAGCTGAATGCTTTCTTCTTGCTGATCTATTAGGCCCCAGATGGGACGGGGGACAGAGAAGTGGGCTTCCTGGGAGACTGCCTCCCGTACAGGGGGTATGCACATCACAATGCATTTCCTGCTGTGGGGATGTTCTGAACCTGGGTTCTCCCCCTGGATCATTTCTTGAGGATGCTAGAGCAGTCTCTGTCTCCACTGCTCGTGGCTGGGATTGGTGCGCAGTCTGGTTCTGTAACCTGCAGCAGAGATACATAAGGAAAACATGTATTGAAGGGAAGAGAACTTGCTGTAACCTTCTCATTTCTTTAGTCTCTGAGGCACCCTCTAAAGGTTTATGTCCCGCATAATTCCAAGTTAATACCAAACACAGGCCCTTAGAGCAGCAAGAGGAAACTATCCTTTCATGAGTATATAATTTAAGTGCTCTGATAATCATTCTAATTTAGTCTAAAACTGTAGTAAAATAAATAAAATGAAGTAGCAGGTTTGTTACATTTTTAGATCTCTCTGAAAGTCTAATTCATTTAAGATTGTTTGAAGGTCAGCATAAAATGTGTCTTATCTCTCATATTAAATGTTCAACTACAAGACAGCCTGGTAGCTATGTGCACAGTGGCTGACTGCTGAGCAGGAAAGTGGCTCTAGCTATTTGGTAGTCAGTTTGCAGATCAGAACCAAAGGGAAAAACTAGAAATTATGATCTCTCACATCTCTTTACCTAAATGAGGTACTGAATTTTAGTGTATCTAACAAGTCACCATCTTCAAGAGTAAGAGACTGACTCCTCTGTATGGTGGCTCCCACTGTCCCCTCCGGCATTCACATTCGCGGCAGACCTACCCCAGGCAATTGCGACATCTTTCATGCAAAACCCAGCCATGTTTCAACATGTGTTCTGGGCAGCTACTCTCCATCAAAGGTGATACAGAGTTGAAACCTACTGACTCTCCCAGAATGAAGGATCTGATCAGTGATATTAATTTCAAATTTTGGGCGTATTGGAAACTGAAATAATGCCAGAGGACCAATTTCTAACAGGGATTGTAGTTTCTCAAAAGGAAGTCCTTTAGAAAGCTCTTCCTAACAACCTAGAAGCCCCTTTTCAAGGTAAGTGGCAATATGACCCTGCTTCCCACGCACTAAATCTGAAAAGGAACTACACCAAAAAGCAGATGAGTAAATTACTCTAAAAATCATGAGAAATCATACAAAAAAGGAATAAGAGAAAATACATTAAATTTAAATATTTTAAATACATTAAAATATTAATGGTAGATCTCTCTGGGAAAGAAGATTGTATGTGATTTTTGTTTTTTATTAATTCATTACTGTTACTTTTCAAAATACTCTATAAAGAACATGTATTACCTCTTAGAATCAGGAAAAAAGACCCACAAAAAATTACTGCAAAAATATTGGGTTATATTCACTCACAGTAGACTTGGAAACATCATACAGCAAAATTCATGTTCACTGTAGTCACAACCAAACCAAAAAAATCAAATAGCTTTCAAAATTACTACTATCGAGTATACTTCCAGCATCAAATTGAGATCAGGGACATTCACAATTGTTAAAGCTCCTTAACAATGTCCTAAAAGATGGGGAATTTTAAGGTGTAGAATAATTTAGTTCTAGTATCTTGGTCTAATTCTGACTTGGGGAATTAAATGTTCCCCTACATAAAATGTATAGTTTTACTACACCTACCTAAAAGCATCTTTGCAGCACTCTGTTTTGAGGTGGGTAGAATAGCCACCATTTGAGGCAGGCTGTCACTAGTAAAGCATTTTCCAGAATAAAAGTATGATAAAAACACAAATAGTTTTATTATTAACGTGTGATCTCTTTCAGGAATAGAGAACTCCTTCCTAGGGGGATAAACCCACAGGCTGCTGGGGTTTTCTCACTTGGTAGGATTAGCTTTTTGTGTTTTGGAGGTAATTTACTTTCATTTGCAGGGCACTGGTTTTGTTGCTTTGAGTATCAACACTGCAACTTGCCCCTGCATTACAAAGAAACACCAGAAGAAGGGAATATTTTAAGGCAGAATCCTATCTTTTAGATCATCACCTACTCTTTTTTTTTTTTTTTTTCCTTCTTTCCTTCCAAGAGGGTCATTTTGAATTGGTAAGTCCAATTGCTGTTTTTCTATCACATAACACTGATTTTGAGCTGCACATTCCTTCCCTTCCTGAATCGAGCATGTCAGTTTCTGGTAGTCAAAATGGCCAGCTTCTGGACAGTCAAAATGAGCAGCCTCTCCAAAAGCAAAGCCAAGCCCAGAGCAGGCCTGAAAAGGATCAGCTGCATAAAAGAACCAAAGGAACAGCTCTGATCTTAGCACCACGCTCTGGATCATTAAAAAGCCAGGAGACCAAAAGAAGTGGGGGCTGATTTTACACCAAGTGCAAGTTTACTGCAGGCTGGCACCTGGGTATCAGCAGGACAAAGCAGTCCCCACACTTCCCCAGGAAGGCTGTGCTGAGGTTTGACAAATTAGAAAGAGAATGCTGCTGGACGAATGGAGTGAGCGAACAGGAGAGAAACACCAGGAAAAGAATTCTCAAGGTTTTACTTAATACAGTCATGGGTCCTAACACGGTCCCCGAGTTCTCCTGCAGCTGCTCCACTTCCACGTGCCCTCCGTTCCCCAGACCCCGGCGCTGAGAGCAACACCCATAACCAGGCTCGGGTCAATCATCAGGCCACTCACACTGATCAGGAAGATACCCGAACGGATACACTTGCCATTCCTCATTCCTATCTCACAGGGACAGACTTCAAGTCTAGCTTTTTAGAAGCTCATGTATTTGGGGAGCGTGCAAACATTAAAGTTCAGGCAAAAATTCTTCAGGTAACGCATGTGACACGGTCCTTCCCATGTGTCCACGTTTTAACAAGTCATTAGAAAAGTGAGCTGTGAAACATTGCTTTTGTCATTCCTGAGCTGTTACCCTGGAGGATGAAAAACAAATTTCCCTCTTTAACATAAAATACATCACTCTCACTGGGGATTTTTTTTAGTCTGTTAAATATGCAAATTTTTAAAAGTCATGAATTTGGGCATGTAGAGAAGGAAAATCAGAATGCTGAAGGAGGGTCAAAGCTGCTGCTAATGAACCAGCAGGGCCTTGCTGGGGTGAAAGTCGGTCCTAGTTAACCTCTAATCAATCCATCACTTTCCCAGCTTCTAGTTTAGGCTGGACTGAAAGCAGCCTGGGCCTGTCTTCTACCTGTGATTTTCTGTCACCAGGGTTATATAAAGACTATTGATCAATATTTATTATGCTTGGAAGAAAGCTTTAAAAACAATAAGAATAAAATTAAAATATTAATAAAGACTACAATTCTTTGTGTAAACTCCCTTGCACATGTCCCCTCCTGGTGAGGAAAAATGATACAGCCAAGTTATTAAAGTATTTTGTGCCTGGGTCTGGCCTGGGATAGATCACTCTCCTAGAGCCCAATTTCCTCTTTCTTAACAGCAGTCCCAGCCACCTCTCCAAATAGCACTGCTCTACTTCTTATATTGAGCCAAAGAAAGAGAAGAGGAGGAAGTGGTGGTAGTAAACAGGTAAAGCCCACTCACCCAGGTTTCTTGATGCCATGGAAACTGTGTGTCTTGGGTGTAAACTGTGGGTGGCCTACACTGGCACTTCTCATGTAATCAGGACCCAGTGGTACAAACTTACTATACAGTAAATTTATATATAGCTCATTATGCATAGTGAAGGACTAGTCAGTGTTCTCCCTGAGGCTCACCAAACCAGCAAGCCAAGGAAATGCAGTGTGGAAGGCAGTCTCCCAAGATGGCAGCCATCAATTCCTCCATCCCTGTATGTCTATGCCACTCCTCCCATCAAGAGGGGGTGTCTATTTCCCTTTATCTTGCATTTGGGCTAGCCCCGTTACTTGCTCTGATCTATAAAATGTGACAGAAGTGATGCTGCACCAGTTCTGGCCCACCCCATAAGAGGCATGGCAACTCTCACTTTTGCTCTGTTGGAGCCCTAAGCTACCAGGTCAGAATTCTGACTACCCTACAGTAGAGACAGCCCAGCCAACCCCAACCATTTAAGCCTCTCCAGCTAAGGCACCACACATGTGATGGAAGCCATCTTAGATGTTCCAATTCCAGATGAGCTCCCAGCTAAACGCAGGTGTATGAGTCACCCCAGCAGACACCATGTGGAGCAGAGATAAGCCATCCCCACCGAGCCCTCCTGAATTTCTGACTCCCAGAAAAGTGAGCACTAAAATGGTGGTGGGTTTTTTTTTTTTTAAGCCGTTGAGCTCTGGGGTAGTTGATTATATAGCAATCATAACTGAAACAATCCCCTACAGAGAGTACAGACAGATTTTCCACTTAAGTTACACTTTCTGTGTTTCACTAAATGCCAAGCAAGGATTTTCCATTATATGCCTTTCTCGACTTTCTTTTCTCACCTTTCAAGTCTTCTTAGCTCTTCACTCAAGAGGTTGTGCAGCTCCAGCTTCTCTAGAATAAGTTCACACTGCCTCTGGTACTGCTCCAGGGGGTTTTCAGGAAAGGAAGTGTGGAGTGCATTCACACCTCCCAGCAGTGCACCTCCCTGAAGGAGTGAGAAAATGGAAAATACCAGGGAGAGTCACCAAGCCAGCCTGCAGAGAGGAAGTACACACTGTGGACCACTGAACCAGATGGCTAAGACCAGCCCTCTACCCATCTTGGGTATTGGAACCACTTGGGAGCTTTTTCAAATTTCAACTGTCCTCTCCCCCAATTCCTGGTGGCAAGCATTGCTCTAGGAAGACACGCTGTCACCAGTGGGACCATGAACATCCCTCAGGTGTGTTGAGGAGAAAAAGGATTGAGACCCACTACTTTACACCGATGGGCAAAAGCAATGCTACTAATGCAGAGAATGTTCCCATGACAATTTGTTCCCTTTTTAAAAATGGTTTCCTTTGGGCATTTCTAAGAATTATTAGGTCTAGAATATGATCATTTTTATAACTCCTGATATGCCATAAATTACCTTTTTTTAATGCTTGTAATTAGGGTTCAAATACGAGGCACAAAATATCCTTACCTGCATTGAGGACTCCATTACTGACACCACTGTAATAGCATCTTCCAGAGTCACAGTGTCACGAAACATCAGGCGAGCATGAGCTAAGAAAATAAGATGCATTTGGAATTATGAAGATAGGAATTTTTTAAAGAGCATTTGAGGTGATAAATGTAATACTCTACCTGATCCCCCCAAATCGTATTTTATAAATGAGCTACAAATAACAAATTAATTTTACTAGAAGAAGCACAAAAGTCTAAGTTCAACTAGCTTTAAGGTTGTTTCTCTAATCATCGGCCTAATTCTTCTGCACAGCCCATGGCAATTCTGTGTACGTATTTTTATATGGAAAAGTACCCTGGGCCCCAGCAAAGAAGGGAGCTATATAAGCATATATTTAATATTCAACAATTTTTAATCTTCACTTTCTAGTCTATTATAGAAATACACGAAATTAAAACGCATTTCTCATCTCTGACACCTCTCTTTATCCCTGGGCTTTTCAAAACTACCAAACTCGCAAACCTGAATTTTGGGTATTTCTTGTTCTAATATTAGCTATAAATCCTTGAAAAACTGAAGTGTATTTGTTTTATAGAACTTTTTATTAAGCATATATCATGATATGATAGTCACGTCACGTGAATTTTTTTTTAGAATTATTTAAACAAAGGCTAAATGTAAAAGCCAATGTTAGAAAAAAACCTCTTGAGATGCATGTGAACTCTATGTCCGCAGGTAAATCTCATGCCTTGGGGGTGGAATAGGGCATGGCATTATTAATTCGGTGTTGTTACCTTAGTGGTGGGCTGCTATATAGGAAACAATTCCAAACAAGGAAGCATCCCACCCAAAATGCTGATAGAACTGCCAGTGAGAAACAAAACATCATTAAGTAAGCCTTCTGAAACGAACGATGTCAAATTGTAGGATGTCTTGAGATATCATGAAGATTCCTCTTTCTTAATGACACTACATTTCGCTCAACACCCATAACCTGTCTCCAGAAGAGGGGGTTTCATAGCTCAGAGCCTTTACTTTTTATAACTTCTCTTTTTTTTGTGTGTGAAGAAGATGAGCCCTGAGCCAACATCCATGCCAATCCTCCTCTTTTTGCTGAGGAAGACCGGCTCTGAGCTAACATCTATTGTCAATCCTCCTCCTTTTTTTCCCCAAAGCCCCAGTAGATAGTTGTATGTCATAGTTGCACATACTTCTAGTGGCTGTACGTGAGACGCTGTCTCAGCATGGCTGGACAAGCAGTGCATAGGTGCACGCCCAGGATCGGAACCCGGGCCGCCAGTAGCGGAGCGTGCGCACTTAACCGCTAAGCCACGGGGCTGGCCCCAGAGCCTTTCCTTTTTAAGCGACTGTGAGCACCTTAGAGTAGGGACTATCCTTCTCATCTTTGAATTCATGGTGCCAAGCCCCGTGCCCTGCACCTATTGGGCCCCCAATGAAAGTATTATTTGTTGAATGAAATAAACCTTCTGCTAATCGGATCAAGCTTTCCAGCAGGCGGATGGTTGTCCGGGCAGCATTCCGGGAATCGCTCTGCCTCTGCATCTGGTAGTAGCGGAGAAGCACCTGATTACCCACGTCAGATAATGTGGGCTGCAGAGTCCTGATGAGGCAGAAGTAGGTTTTCATTTTTTCCATGCTCCAGAGCTTCTCTGATTTGCTTGGGTAACCTGTATAGATCAGGTGTGGAGGTCAGTAATTTCTAAGAACAGGCAAACATTTCATTCTAAGGGTTTTGATAAAGTTCTTGTACTAATTTTTAAAAAGGTAACTTTCAGGTTTTGTGGTCATTGAAATCTAGACCTAATTCTGCATAGCATATAGTTTGAGAATAAGCAGTCTTAGGATCTAAACTTAATAAAGATAAGCTTCCTACAGGGGTTAAAATGATTCAGAACAATTCTGGTCTGCCCTATTGTAATAAATAGTACTTGAGTAAATCTAATTTAATTGAAAGAGAAGCCCACATTTAGAGATTTCTGTTTCATAATTCAGTCCAGTTTTCTTTGCATGCAAGAGGTGAGTGGTCATTCTATATCATAAGGTTGCCCCCTTTCATCACAAAGGATGTATTTATCAGCTATGATCCCATCAACGGCAGGGAGAGAAAGGCCCTTCTCCTTCTGCTCATTATTCTGGGCTCTACTAACTGGCTTTTCTCACTGCTTTCTGTCTAAGCATCTCTATTGCCCACTAGGTAGGGTACCTCCAGTATTTAATTTTCTTCAAAGAGAATTTCATTTGGTTATGTCCACTCTTTCTTTGTCCATTTGAATGATTTGTTTGCCTCCACATACCTTTGTTTTCTAAGATAAAGGAGGAAATTATACGATCCCAGTCTTCATTCTTGGTATCAAGCAAAACCAGGATCAGGTCAAATCGACTTAAGAGTGGGCTGCCCAGGGCGATGTTCACAGACACGGACTCGCGGGGGTCGTACTGGCCTTTGGGGTTGGTTGCTGCCAGGATGGTGGTCCTTGTGTTCAGCTTGCACACGAGGCTACCGAAAGAGAGGGTACAATTCACTGACTGTTAGATTCACATAAAAAGCAAAATTAAACTTGTTAATAAAAAGGGGCTGCTCTTATGCCTTGCAAATCTGGAGAAACTCGTGTGAAAGAGAATGTGGAATGATACAAGGAGGTATCACAAACACCAAGTTCAACCAAGTACATTTACAGAAGCCTATCTTGAAGAAGTAAGTGTTCAATAAACACTTCTTATGCCCCTACTATGAGCAGAGCCCTCTGCTGGGCGCTAAGAGGTACACAAAATTAAACCAAACATGGATACTGCTCTCACGGAGCTCTCAATCCACTACTGATAACGGTAAGACAAGGCAGAATATGGTAAGTTCTAGAAGTTCTAGAAGTACAAAGTTCTCAGGGGAAGAGAAGATGATGTGTATTCATCTATGTGGGTGGAAGAAATGATCAGACAAACATCACGAAGGAGCTTTTGAACTGGGCCCTTCATGACATCTGGACTTTTTTAAGCAGAGAGAGATACATATTTGTGGAGGAAGTGAAGGTGGGGGGTGAGGGTGACTTCGGAGAATGGTGAGTGGTTGAAGCAAAAACTTTCTGTGTTCACTTAGTTTGATTTTTATAAAAGTGAAAGAAATGAAAGAGAGAGAGAAAGGAGACGAGGGAGGTAAGGAGGGAGGGAGGGAAAGGAAATCACGAAAAATAAGGATTGATTAGCACCAAGTTTTTGAGGAGCAACAGTAAAGGCAAGGCTGAAGGGGTGTGGGCGTTAGATGGGGACGGACTGTGGATGGGACACGTGGAGGAGCTGAGGGCAATGGTCCAGGGAGAGGCAAGAGAGTCCCAAACAGACCACTGGCAGGACATGTATGGATGTGACATAACCTAGATATTGTTTTTAAACTTATCAATGATGGGCAAGTCCTCAAAATAATATGGCATATTCACTGACAACAGCCAATGTAAAATTTTTTCTCGGTAAATTTGTATGCTCTCCACTTGACGACTGTCTTCGGTTATAGTGGCATGTCTGCCTCTCAGCAGTCACAGCCCCATGACATCAGCAAACATGTGCCACCTTTGTTAATCCCTAATCTATTTCCAGTCAGCTCTAGCAATTACCTCATGCCCTGAGACTAAAAAAGTTTGAGCATCTTTATTTGTGGTAAACGGCACAAGAAGACACTCATTAAAGAAGGGAAAGACAAACAAGCCACTTTCACTGAAAACTAAATCTCCTTTTTAAAAAAATCACTGAAATGGAAAAATTCTGAATAGACAGTCCATATCTTATAATTTATGTGCCAAAATAGCTTTGTAAAGGTAGTTGTTTAGAACTCAGAATCCAGTTTGCCACAAAAACAATGTAATAAATGGTTCCTAACTAATCCCACAAAAGCACATTTAATCCATACTGAAGTGAGGCTGTTTGCATTTATCATAAAAAAGGAATACTGCTCTAAGTATTCCTTGTAAGCAATGGAACAAAATACAAGTGCATATGAAATAATTTTTTAAAAATTATTTTCAAGGTGAGGTAAAATTGTTTTTTCTCTCTCTGATTAACAAATATTTATAAGCCATTTTTTGTCTGCAAAGGATTGTACTGAGAATTCAGAAAGCTGAATTCTGCCTTCAACTAGTTAAAAACAGAACTGCTGGAGGGTGGGGGGACTCAGCGCCTGCCAGACAGCACGTGTGCAATGGATGATGGCGTGAATATCAGCAAAGAGAAACTTCTGTGGAGAGTGCGGGACATCTACAAGGTATGTAATCTTAAGGCTATCCATGCTGTGAGAAGGAAAATGAACAAGCAAAAACAGAAGGTAGTGAATTATTCCTGAGGTAACTGGAAAAAAAAATGAAAAGAATAAGCTTAAGGAAGGGGGCTAAGGAAGATCTACATGTGAAGAAAAAAGGCTGCCTGAGGGGCAGTTAGCGGAAATGTGAGCCACGAACAATAGAGGGGCAGGCAGGCGAAGAGGAGACTGTGTAGGGTATTAAGTCAGGCAGCTCCCGGCAGCCAAGAAGAGAGATGAGGACGCTGCCAGGAGGGACAGAGTGGTCTCTGGTCATTTCAAAGAGGGGAAGGCAGTATATAAGCCTGGTGGTTGCAGACCTGTGCTACAAGCAGTACGGCATTAAAAACTGAATGGGGCTTTAGAAAACACAGATATGTGCACACAGTCTAATTCTAAGTAGTTTGTGTATAGTAATGGCTCACTAAACAACGACTGAATGAATGAACTCACGAATTAGTGTAAGGCAATGGTCGTTTTTCCAATCCAATATGAACTTCACCTTCTTCACTAATAATAATGAAGATAACTACCACATTTGTCATACTAAGCACTGTGTTAGTCTTTAGGTATACATATTATCCCTAATCTTCACAACAGCCTGAAAGGTAGATATTATCATCAACTTAGAAATAAGGAAACTAGAAATTCAGAGATGTTAATAACTTCCCCAAGGCTACACAGAGAACAGCAGAGCTGCGATCCAAACCCAGATCTGCTAAGCTCCAAAACCAGTGCTCTTACACCTCAACTGCCACCCTGCGGCGGAACATTTAAACAGCTCCTGGGATCTTAAAGATTCTGCCTGATGCTTTAGGTATTCACTGACTTGCCTTATTTTTCCTACTGAATTTGACCCTCCTTGAGGGACTGTGACTTATTGTTATCCTCACACTGCCTGTCACACAGGAAATGCTCAGGAAATGTTCACTAAATAATTGATAAATAAAAAATAAATCTTTACCTCAGTTCAGTATTTCTAAAATTCAGAGTTATTTCATACTCACAGGCTTCAACAGTTATAAAATAATCATGCTAATATATATATTTTTTGCATTAACTTCAAGGAGTGATAACATTCCAGTTTTTGAAAAAGCTACTTTTTTTTTTTTTTTAAATTTTTTGTTTATTGCAGTAACATTGGTTTATAACATTGTAAAAATTTCAGGTGTACATCATTGTACTTCTATTTCTGCATAGATTACATCATGTTCACCACCAAAATACTAATTACAACCCTACTGTTCCATTTTTAATCCACTTGTTTAAACTTTCCTACAAACATAGCAGTAATTTTTCTTAACATTGTAAAGTTAGGTTACATAAATTATTTTTACCAGTACAGGCCCTCCTGAAAGTGCCCTTGTCTTTGTGATGGTCTCCCATTACTCTCATTACATCCTTTACAGGTGAGCCCCGTCTTCACTCATGGCTTTAATCACCATCTATATGCTGGCATTTCCAAATTTAGCTCTAGCCTGTGGCAGTGGTTGCTATGTGTTCACCAAACTTTGTTTTCCTTTCTCCCTGGGAACAGAGCAAGATGATATTTCCCATCCTCCTTTACAGTTAAGTTGGACTGTGTTAACAAGTCTCACCAATGGAATGGGGGTAGAACAACATATGCCACTTCCAGGCGGGCACCTAAACCCTTCCTGTGCAACCTTCCCGGTTTTCTCTGTCTTTGCTACCAGAGTATAGATGAGGATAAGGTCCTGGAATCAGAGAGCCACCTGAGGGAGGGAGCCTGGGCCCTGAATGATGGTGTGGAGCAGAGCAACCTACCCTCAACCCACATCAGCTTGTGATATGAGCAAGAAAAACTTCCTTTGACAAAATATTGCAGGAAAGAGATGAGCACAGGAAAGAAATGACCGGTTTTCAAGGATTAATGAAAGAGAATAGACAGCTCAGAAATTCGAGGCTTTGAAGGGTTGGAAAAACAATTGCTTCTAGACCCCAGATAGTTAAGAGGCAAGACTGAAAAGGTCTTTGAAACAACAAAGGCCTAGTAAATTTTCTCAGTTGTATAAAGTGACCCAGATTAAGGGTGAAGCCTTCAGCTTTAGATGGCCTCAAGGTAGCCACCATTAAGTTGAATAAAAGAGGAATAGAGGCCATACCCATGTTCACTATTTCACAATAGCCCAGTGGTGGAAGCAACACAAGTGTCCATGGATGAACAAATGGAAAACAAAATGTGGTATATATTGAACTTTGAGGACATTACAATAAGTGAAATAAGTCAGTCACAAAAGATAAACACTGTATGATTCCACTTATATGAGGTACCTAGAGTAGTCAAATTCACAGAAACAGAAAGTAAGATGGTGGCTGCCAGGGACTGGGAGAGGGGAGAATGGAGAGTTGTTGTTTAATGGGTATCAAGTTTCACTTTTGCAAGATGAAAAGAGTTCTGAAGATTGGTTGTACAACGATGTGATTATACCTAACACTACTGCACACTTAGAAATACTTAGGATGAAGCCGGCCTGGTGGCACAGTGGTTAAGTTCGGTGTGCTCTGCTTAGGCGGCCTTGGGGTTGTAAGTTTGGATCCCAGGCGTGGACCTACACACTGCTCATCAAGCCATGCTGTACTGGCGACCCACGTACAAAATAGAGGAAGACTGGCACAGATGTTAGCTGAGGGTGAATCTTCCTCAAGCAAAAAGAGGAAGATTGGCACAGATGTTAGCTCAGGGCGAATCTTCCTCAAGCAAAAAGAGGAAGATTGGGAACAGGTGTTAGCGCAAGGCCAATCTTCCTTACCAAAAAAAAAGAAATAACTAGGATGATATATTTTATGTTTTTTTGCCATACTGGAAAAAAAGTAATGGTGGCTATTATGGACTGAATATTCGTGTTCCTCTAAAATTCCCAGGTTGAAGTCCTCATCCCAGTGTGATGATACTATGAGTTGGGGCCTTAGGAAAGTAAGAGGTTTAGATGGGATCATGAGGGTAGAGTCCCCCAAAACGGGACTAATGTGCTTATAAAGGAAAGAGAGACCAGAGCTCACTCTCTCCATCCGCACGCACCCGGGAAAGGCCATGCAAGCACACAGAGAGAAGGAGCTATCTACAAGCCAGGAAGCGGCCATAAAAAGGAACAAATTATTGATACATGCAACAACCTGGGTGAACTTTGAAAACATTATGCCAAGTAAAAGTTTCCAGATACAAAGAGTCACATCTTGTATGATTTCATTTATAT